AAAAGTCTGTTTTCTTAACTATTTCATCGCTAAAACATTTGGAGATTCTTTTAAAAGCCTTGTTTTCTTTGTCAGTCCCTGCATTGGAACTTTCCATGGCTAATGATATTAGTCTGTCAAACATGTAGGGGAATGGATTAACTTTTTTTAAAAATCCAGTTTCCCTTCTATACCTGTTTAGAACTCATGCTGGCTGTCGTACACTACTGTGTAGATGAGTTAGCGGGTGTATCCTGTCTTATTGCTGAAATGAGTCACTTATCCATGAACATGCAGGAAAACTCTAGATGATATGTTGGTCTGTGAAACAGACATGTAAAAAGCTATGTTTGTGCACGCTTTCCGAGGTCAATGTCTATTTGAAACTTCACTGAACACCCTAATCATGGATATCACTGGGGTAAAAGTACTAATCTACCCCAACAAAAGCAGCCTAGACCTCAAGTTGGGAAGTCCCCCTCCCATCCTCTAAGGCCAATTTAGAGTTGCTTTAGTAACTTACAGGCTTCAAACTCTAAGACCTAACCTAAATTGGAAGCCCGATTCAACCGCAAACCCTGGGCCTCTCAAGTCCTCCAAACCTGAGACAAATCCTCTTCGGTACAAAAATCACCACCACTTTCTATGGGGGTGGGGGGTTGGGGAAGAAGCACCTGTCAACTTTTGCAAACCTCTGGAAAGACATCTCAGATACCTTGTTAAGTCAGGTTGTGTCAAGCAGCTGTTCTTGGCCCCCTCCCCGCTTAATATCTTCCATCTTTCCTGTGTCACTGCACAGGTTAGTGGTCCTTAATCCAGCCCTTGAAAATCTTCTGGATCTTGGGATTATTACTCTAGTTTCTATTCTCAAACTAAAAGGGCAGTTATCCCATCTTTAATATCAGTACTCTAAATATCTGTCTTTTCACCCAAAATTCTGTATGGAATCCATCAATCTGTTATAGTCCCCCTCCATCAGGCTGATTTTATAGCCTCTGTAAACAGACCACACACCTAGAGGTGTACAGGGGCTGTCACAGCTGGGGGGGATGCCTAGACATGTTTGTCTTGTGGTGTAGAGATTCTCTGGAGGAAGCTGTAGATTCTGTGGGATGAGTACAGCCTGCTGTAGGCTTTTCCTCCCCTAAAATGAATTTCTTGTCTGCTCTGTAGGATCAGAATGGAAGGTTTACCAATAATCTTCATAGCTTCGAACTGGCCCAAGCAAAGGTGGTCTTGAGGGATAACAGGAGTTTTTGAATCCGTGATTCCTGTTATACTGAAAGCTAGAATTCCCCTTCCCAAAAGCATTACCGTCACTTGTGGAAGACGTGGTATGAGAAAATAAACCTTTATTACAGGAAATATTCTTGAGGGCATATCCTGACCTTTTTACAATTAGGTCTGGCCCAACAATTGGCTCTGATTACCACCAAGGGTCCAATCTTGGCACTTGCAGTCTTGTTTCCAGACACTGCTTGCTCTCCATTCTTGACCTTTGTACAGGCTGTCTGGTATGTGGCTTCCCCTGTATGTTAACTAGTCTCTCCATGGAATCTGAATTCAGAAACAGCCTTTTGAAACCTCTCTGACATATTTCCCTTTCCATCCTTATTCACAAGGTTGCTTTCCTTGTTGCCATCACCTCAGCAAGGCATGTCCGTGCTGGTACCCGGTAGCCCTGCCATTTTTAAGGTATAACTAAAGGCAATTATTTTTTTTGGTTAGAGTGGAGAGGGATTAGAACAACTGTCAGTATTTATTGCTGTCTGTGTCCCCCAGACCCCCCCCCCCCCCCCCCCAGTTAAGGAGGATCACCCTCTCCTCTATTTGTCCTGTTTACCATTATCGTTGAAATTGATAGTAAAATTAAAATCCCAGGCTGAGACTTTCATTCAATTCACCATAGAGAGGGTCTGTTTTCATGTACGGCTCTCGGGACACATCACTTGTCTACGTTTGGAGCTTTAGACGAGCTTCCTCCCTGGCCAACGCTTACAGCACTGGGCACAGGACCAGCATTCTCTTACAGCCTGAGCAGCACACATCCCTTTGTTCTATTGGTTTGCAATGGGTTTTTTGTTTACCAGCTTCCAAAACCTCTTGTATGTGGCAGTATAAACCAAATCTTTGAATCCTGTATTCCTAGACCTCAAGAAAAAAGAATATACAAAAAGTACAAAAATCTTTTTTTTTTTTTTTTAATTTCCCCCTGCCTAGCTATATAACTGCTCCCAGGAGTCAACTCAATGCTTGCATCAGGGTCGCTGAGAGGAGTACTGAGGCAGACTGGTATGATGTTTTCAGAAAGCTATGTACAGCACCTTGTTGGGGCTTCTCCCACCAGCCATGTTATGCCTGCATTGCATAGAGAAGTACAGAGACCCAGCAGATGTTACTTGGTTAAAAATAGGTTTTATTTAATGTCATTAGCATGTCGATGAGGGGGGAAAGGAGGAACCAAGGAAGGCAAAATAGATTAAACTTCAGCTTTAATATGTTGTAGATATTGTCACCAATAATTACTGACAGGTTTGAAGTGTCGCTCAACTCTGTCCCTCCTATGGGCCCATAACTATGATGGTCTTCTTCACCTACTTGCCGCCCGCAATATGTTTATATACGGTGGCACTTTAAGTAGTTATACCGGGAAGATGACTGCAGCTACAGGCATCAACCCGGTGTTGTTTTTTTCAGCCAGCGATTCCCTTTTCTGTAAAAGCCATCCTAGTGGCTAATTAGCTGCTGGATTACTTTTACAGGAGTTGGAGGGGTTGCCCCAAACCCCCCTGCCCCTCCCACAGTCCCCCAGTGCCTCTCCGGGCTCAACTGTTCCACCGGCGAGCCTAGAATGAAGCCAGCGGTTCCACCAGCTTACTATGGAGCTGATCGAGGAGCATAATGGTATATGAAATGGGAAGCGACAAGTATTTTGTCACTTTCAGTTTCTGCAGGATATAAACAAGTCATTTTTGACTTGTTACAAGCATCTGATCAAAAGATCTTGGTTTGAACACATACTCTCAGGGCAGATGAGAGAGCTGATGTCTAATAGACCCCAGATGTCTCAACAATAGGACCTATCATAGCCTATTGCCATTTCAAGGGATATTTACATTCCTGGTAAGAGCAATAAAGGTGATCAAAAAAAAAAATTACAGGGTCAGTGTAAAAATAAAAAAAGTATAAAATAATAACAATTTTTTAAAGTCCCCTGTCTGTGCAGATGCATCTGTAGGTCGCACATGCATATGTAAACGGTGTTCGCACCACACACGTGAGGTATCATCACCAATGTTATTGCAAGAGCAATAATTTTAGCACCAAACCCTTCTGTAAGGCTAAACTAGTAACCTGTAAAGGCTTTTTTAGCATCACCTATGGCGTTTAAGGAACGTAGTTTGGTGCCATTACACGAGCGTGCACAATTTTAAAGTGTGACATGTTGGGTATCTATTTACTCAGCATAATGTCATCTGTTATTTTTTTTACCACAGAATTGGGTATCATGTTATTGTGCATTAAAATTCATCAGTGTTTTTTTGCCCAAAAATTGCTTTTGACAAACCGTTTCGCAAATACCGCGTGGCATAAAAAATTACAACACTCACCATTTTATTCTCTAGGGCCTCTGCTTAAATTATGTTTAGGGATTCTAAGTAATTTTTTTAGCAAGAAATACTGATTTATATATAAAAAGTGTCAGAAAAGGTGTGGTCTTAAAGTGGCTACTGGTCAGTCTGAATGTTCAAAAGACTAGAAGCATGTTTAGGAAAAAGATTTGCCTGTCAGTATGGCTTAGGTTTTGAGCAAAGTTGGGTACTTAAAGCTGCTGCAGGTAAGTGTAGGCACCTCTGGTGGGTGTCTGCACTTAAAACCTATCAGTAGTTTTTAGTTTTCCTATAATGATATAATTACTTTAACCACTTGCTAACCGCGCTATAGCCAAATGACCGCTACAGCGTGGTTATCCAGTTCTGGGAGGGTGTCATATGATCAGTGCCACACAGCAGTGCCACCCATCAGTGTCCCCCAGCAGTGCCATCAGTCAGTGCTGCTAGTCAGTGTTGCTTATCAGTGTTGCCTCAGCAGTGCAGCCTATCAGTGCCACCATTGCTGCCTATCCATGCCACCTCATCAGTTCTCATCAGTGCTGCCTATCAGTGCAGCCCCATTATCGCATATCAGTGAAGGAGAAAAATTACCTGTTTGCAAAATTTTATCTTAGAAACAAAGAAAAACTTTTTTTTTTTTCAAAATTGTTTTGATGTTTATAGTGCAAAAAAATAAAAAAAACCCAGTGGTGATTAAATACCACCAAAAGAAAGCTCTTTTTGTGTGAAAAAAAGATAAAAATCATATAAATGGGCACAGTGTTGCATGCCCGCGCAATTGTCATTCAAAGAGTGACAGCACTGAAAATTGACCTGGGCACGAAGAGGGTATAAGTGCCCGGTAGGCAAGTGATTAAATTGTGAGCTTCCAGGTCAATTGGTAAATTGCTATTCACAACTTCTAAGAAATTTACAAAGCTAGATTAATTAATTTGCAAGTCAGTTCCTACATCTTCAACACATTTTTTTATTGTGTGTCTATTACTGTGTACTACCTACAAATTTGGTTTATGGCATATGAAATTAAAGAAGCAGGCCCTGTCTGCAACAATTCTGCTATGTAGTTGCTTTGCCATATTCAGCCTTTTTAATATTTAAACTTTCACTTGTTTCATAGGAAAGCCTTCAAATCTACAGAATTGAAATTCAGCATTAAAATAGTAAATTGAGTGTATGAGCTTCGAATCTTGGAGACTTGATTGTATATAGTTCTGTGTTGTCTTTTGACATTTGTGCCTTCATTATTTGTTTGCCATTGTCCTTGTGTGTTATATTAAATGTGCTCTTGAGAAATTGGCAATATTCATGATGTGAATGGAGGGTGTATATACTGTCCAAAACAAATTATTAACCTTCGTCTTGTGACTAATGGTATTAATTATCACTACTGACACATTACTCTTTCAGGGCCATTGATCAATGCCAGTGAAGATGTTTTTATAAAGCCTGGCCCCATTTTGTTACAGTGTAACCTCACCCAAAATGGAAGCCTTGGGTCCGTTAATGTCACCTACTGGACCAAGAATGGAGTGGAGTTAGCGGACTCTCGGAAAAAAGATTCATCCACCATGGAATACAAGTAAGCGTGTGATGGGCATGTAGTGTCTTTACATCTCCAAGGCATAGACATATTGACATATAATGTGCATGGGCAAGGTCCTAATGTATATCCTGAGCCAAATATACCAACAAAAATGTGAGTGGTGCCCAAACATTTGGGAAAGGGGTAGTCTAAGATTTCTAGATTGAAACACTGGCCGCTCATGAGAGAGATACTGTAAGTTATAAATCCATGCACTTATTTGTCATGTAGTCGACCATTTGATGCAGTTGTTCCTAAAGTCTGGAATTGTTGTTTGATGCAACAGAAATGACAAATTCCTGTATCCAAAACAAGAGGTAAAATGTTGTATTGACATCCACTTTAATAATATTCTGAATTCTCCCACCCATTTGATCACTTATCTTCTGTTTGATCCCTCAAAACTAGCACTAGATTTGATCGTGGCCAATTTAGCAAATGTTTTGTATTCCTGGTTGCTTCTGTTTTGACCTTGTAAACGCTCATTTTTTAATTATTTTTTGGCTACTACACTGTTTATATACCTTTTTATTGTAGCTTCTTTATGCTGTTGTGGCTTTAAACATCTTTATAGATGAATTGCTTTCATTTTCTAACTGCCTGTTATGATTTAAACCATGTTTTTATTACAACTAAACTATGCTTGTTTTTGTTATAGGATCAATAAACCTAAAGCTGAGGATTCAGGAGAATATTTGTGTGTATTTACTTTTGCCAGCGGTTCTCCATCAGTCAATGCAACCATTGAAGTTAAAGGTAGTCATTCAAAAGGCAAAAATGATTTTGTTCCGTTTTTCATAACAAGTCAATAGTACAAATAGATTGTTCTGTGTAAAAAGGAACAATCTAAAATTGATTTTATTTTTTCCAACACCAACCCTGTGCTGATCCCCTGCACTTGACAATGTTTATGCATTCTAAATATGTGTTTGCAGATTTGGACAGTTTGCAGAGAAATACTTGATTATTGAATCCAAGCAATCAGATTCATGGATTGCTTTAATCAACAGGCACGTATTTTGGAGAATCAAAAATTGGAATCATTTGGAATCCGTTTCTCCATTATTGTGATTTTTTTTTTTTCCTCTCATCTAGCAGTACTGAAATAATTTTGTTTATGTAGCAAAAAAAAAAATCAGGTAGCAAGTGGTCCACCAAACTGATTTCAGAGTTGGTGAGTATCTGGCAAACAAAGAATATTTATTAGCAACATCTCTCTGCCCCTCCCACGGGCTTCCATGGTTTGCTGAACCTTCTGAAAATGCTGATTGGCTGTCTCAAGCTGCAATACTTTTGTAGTCTGTGACCTGAAAACTTGTATGCAGAATACCTTTTCTAACATACTCCTAAGGGGGGGGGTCGTGAGTAAGGAAAAATTTGAAACCAGGAAAGAAGCTAGGCTAATGGCTTTTTCAGATAGCCTACATACATCTCTCAGTACAGGTTATACTTTGTGACTATTCTCCCCAGTTACACCAGGAGTAATGTTTTAACTGCCCTAAAATCTTTGAAATGTTCATTTTTTGTGCAGCGCTGAAGCTGCTCACCAAAATAAGGCAAGTATGATTTCATAAGCCTAACCTAATACAAGTAATTAGTTTTTATTTTTGGTCAATTTCATTTTAGCCCAGCTATTTTGCAGGATCTTATATGTTCGTTTTTCACTTTGGTCTTGCAGAGAGATGGTTTGTTGCCTGGCTAGTCATTAGAAATATGTAGAAGATCAGGTGCTGGAATGAACAAAGGATATCTGTTTTATCTGCTGCATTTTCTGTTTTCAGCTGCTCCAGACATCACTGGACATAAAAAAAGCGAGAACAAAAATGAAGGCGAAGAAGCTCTTTTATATTGTAAATGTGTAGGATACCCACACCCAGACTGGTATTGGTTCAAGTTGGTTAATGACGTGCCAAATGTAAGTACAATAGACCTTGTAAATGGTGGTAACAAATTCATTGCTAAAAAAAATTAGGATACCTATAGTGGTCTGATATTTTGGTGTGTTGACATGTGAAGATCAAATTGGAAAGGATGCTGTGTGGACTTGTGGTCTGCACTATTTGGAACAGTCAGATTATATATAAAATTTATGTTCTCTATATATAACATAGAAAAAAAATTGCTATCATATTCCCTATGCTGAATTTACAGTGCTTCTCTAGCCATTTTTTACATCTTTGAAATTGGAGGAGAGGGGACACTTTCACTGAAGCACCTGTTCTGAGACAACTATCTGGAAGTCTATTTTGCCTCACTTTGAGATTTCCTTTTTATTTCCTGTTGTGTTTCCAGAACAGGTAGTGAAGGAAATCTCCCAATGTGGGGCACAGGAAAAAAAACAAAACAAAAAAAGGATGGGTGGTTTAACCCTTCCCTATGTTATCTACAAACTTTCAGAAATGTTTTACTATAGAAAACCCTTAAGCAAAAGAAACAAGTTTTAATCATAATTCCACTTTGAACTCTTCGATTTTTAGGAAGTTGATTTTTTTTTTTTTAAGATTATAAAAATGTTGACAGTAACTTTGTTGTAAAGGTAAAATGACCAGTATTTCCCAAACACTGTCATTTTTTTGTACCATTCTGTTTATTGGGATTTTTATATATATATATATATATATATATATATATATATATATATATATATATATATATATATATATATATAATTGTGGTGAAGAAATAGAAACATATTACTCAGGAAAAGTAGACATTGCAATTTATGGTAAATTCAATTTTCATCTTAGAAAAATGCATTCTATTGTGTATGTTGTGTGACATTATGAAAGGCAAGGTGATCGATGGATGCTATGTGTCACCTCGTATGCAGTCATATCTAGGACATTAAGGTGAAGTCCAGTCCAGGTTTTCCAGGCCACTATGGCAGAAGTGTTTCCGGACTTGTTTTTATGGTCAACTGATGACCGCCAGAAGGTGCTGTATAAAAAAGGCAGGACTGGAGCAAGAAGTTGCTCTTGGCCTGGGACTCAAGAGAGCCATATCTGAGTGAGCTGTGGATGAAAGTTTGCATTGTACAACAAAGAAAAAGGTTTGCATACTGTTTTGATTTTGTTGGTGACAGGGAGAAGCCCTTCACCGGTGAGATAGGAATCTCCTATGTTTAGTTAGTGCTTGGATGGTGAGGGTTTATTTTCTGTTTTGTTTATGATGCTTGCAACCTTTTAAATACAACTGACAAGTCAGATTTTAAGAAAGCCCTGCTGTCTGGACTACCATTTTTCCCAGGGAAGGCGATCCCCCACCTGAACTACCCTCCACAGTTATTACGATATATACAGTAAGCAAAATATGCCTAGTTAGAAATAGTGAACAGTACGACATAAAAAGTGTAGTGGTATTCTAATGTGTGATACTATACCGAACAAAGGCCAGTATCCTGAACTGCAGCAAAAGAACAAGAGGCAAAGGGAAGGGGGAGGTAGAGGGTGCGTAGGGTGTTAGGGTAAGGGACATAGGGGTTTACCTACTGCTCCATCTGTTATGTTCCTTGATGTTTAAAAAAAGGGGAAAAGTTTGAGAATTTAACAGTTTGAAGTGGGATCTAATGTGTAGCCATGAAGAACCATGGAAGCCAGACTTAGTACAATGTCGGTGCTTTTTTCTGATCCACTGTATTGGTGCCACTGGGGATGTCAGTGAAACAAAGTCCATTCCCTCCAGTGCCAGAATGTCTGCCATAGTCCCGCTATAAGTTGCTAATTGCCGCCATTACTTGTAAAAGAAAAAAAAAATCCCAGTATCTATACCGGCATTTGTAAACGCTATCATTTTAACGTAAACCAATTAATTTATATGTATTGGGATTTTTTTTTTTTCTAGCAAAGAAATGTCCCAGAATACATTTTGGCCTAAATGTATGCCGAAATGTGAAATTTTTTTTATTGGACATGTTTAATCGCAAAAAGTCCAAAATACTCGTTTTTTTTCTCAAAATTGTCAGTCTTTTTTTTGCTTATAGCGCAAAAAAATAAAAACCACACAGGCGATCAAATACCACCAAAAGAAAGCTCAATTCGTGGGAGAACGGAAATTTCATTTGGTTGCAACGTTGCATGACTGTACAATTGTCAGTTAAATTAACGCAGTGCCGTAATGCAAAAAATGGCCTGGTCATGAAGGGGGGTAAATCCTCAGGAGGGCAAGTGGTTAAATAAGTGTTGACTGCATGATCAGTCATATTTTCAATATCAGTGCCAAAATGTCATGTTTTCTGCCAGGGTATGCAAACTTTTGAGCACAACTGTACATTTTAGCAGCTACTGTCTGACCTCTACATTGTGTACTCCTGCCCTCTGAACTCAGCACTGTGTACTCCTGCCTTCTGAACTCTACACTGTGTACTCCTGCCTTCTAAACTCTGCACTTTGTACTCCTGCCTTCTGAACTCTACACTGTGTACTCCTGCCTTCTGAACTCTGCACTGTGTACTCCTGCCTTCTGAACTCTACACTGTGTACTCCTGCCTTCTGAACTCTGCACTGTGTACTCCTGCCTTCTGAACTCTACACTGTGTACTCCTGCCTTCTGAACTCTGCACTGTGTACTCCTGCCTTCTGAACTCTACACTGTGTACTCCTGCCTTCTGAACTCTGCACTTTGTACTCCTGCCTTCTGACCTCTACACTGTGTACTCCTGCCTTCTGAACTCTACACTGTGTACTCCTGCCTTCTGACCTCTACACTGTGTACTCCTGCCTTCTGAACTCTGCACTGTGTACTCCTGCCTTCTGAACTCTACACTGTGTACTCCTGCCTTCTGAACTCTGCACTTTGTACTCCTGCCTTCTGACCTCTACACTGTGTACTCCTGCCTTCTGACCTCTACACTGTGTACTCCTGCCTTCTGACCTCTACACTGTGTACTCCTGCCTTCTGAACTCTACACTGTGTACTCCTGCCTTCCGAACTCTGCACTTTGTACTCCTGCCTTCTGAACTCTGCACTTTGTACTCCTGCCTTCTGAACTCTGCACTTTGTACTCCTGCCTTCTGACCTCTACACTGTGTACTCCTGCCTTCTGAACTCTACACTGTGTACTCCTGCCTTCTGAACTCTGCACTTTGTACTCCTGCCTTCTGAACTCTGCACTTTGTACTCCTGCCTTCTGAACTCTGCACTTTGTACTCCTGCCTTCTGACCTCTACACTGTGTACTCCTGCCTTCTGAACTCTACACTGTGTACTCCTGCCCTGTGCTATATATGGCCTTGCTAGGTTAGCTCCCTTACGGCCCTTTTAGCACGATTTTGGAGCAGCATTATCCATTTGAATGGATCTCCCTCCCCTCCCTAAGCACGTATTTTGTTGCGTGGAAAATGGCAACAAAAACACACAGGCTGTTACACATGTTTGGGGTGCCATAGAGAAATAGTGGCAGTGCAAGCGTGGCATGCATTTTTTTGCACGGTTTTTGCAAGTTTACAGAAAGGCTCTTTTCTGCTTTTCATTTCTGCTAAACATTATTGTGAACAGGGTCTAAAAATAGGGCGTTGTGCCTGGTGAGCTTTGATTTCTCCCATGTTGTTCACAACTGTAAGTTTGCCTACCTCTGTTCTAAACATATGTTTTCAAATGAAGTCAATCTGCAGAACCTATAGCTTATTGGAGAAAGACTGGGAGTAGTGTTTAATTTTGTGGATTGGAATTCTGAAAACGGTGGATGCAATGTTCAGTTTGTTTCTGTGGTTAATATCTTCATAGCAAAATAATTGTTTAGCCACAAACAGGCAGCCTGATGTTCAAGGCTGGAAGGTAATAAAGGTGTATAACTGAAGGAGGTAATCATAGATGTTTCGGATGACAAGTGATATGTAATTTTACGGTATACCCAAATATTTCTAATGTGGATCATGGATGTTAGATGATGAGAAACGTGGATGCTGGGAGTAGGAGACCAGATTAAAGAGTTAGTATGGATAGGGGATTCTTGTTATTTCTGACCACCTTTTTACATGGTAAATTATGTCAAGTGACATAAGTTGGCTGCTAGGTAGTATTTAATGATATCTTGGAAATTCAGACCACCCTGTGTTTTCTGTGCTATAAGTACTTGTCTAGCCACTCTCTGTCGTTGCCCATGTAAAATAATGCCTGTTACAGTGTTTTAAGGTCTTTAAGTGGGTTCTTGATAGGCAAAGTTTTAGTTCTAGACCAGTGTGGGTAAAAGTGTCATCTTGTGGTTATTTTACCTTTCCAAGACCTATGATAGTGTTTCCATTTCTGCAACTAGTTCCTTCAATAGTGGGAGGTAGCTAGGTAACTAGATTGGATACCTGAGATCTGAGGTAAATCCCTAAATATTACATTTTAATCTGTTTTTCAGTGATAGATTAAAGAGGATTACATTGTGGACTGTTTGTGCTGGAATGTTTATAGGTAAGGCTTCAGTCACCCACAACTGACTGAACAAACCCACAGCAGTAAAATCAGTCTGTATATGCAGTAAAGCATGCTTATATATAAACTGGTGCAGCGCTGCCCTGGATATTGCCGTCTAATAAGTAAATCCAAAATAAAAATTTATAGTGATAAGAATAATTTATAAGTGACTATTAGTGTATACAGTGAATAATTATACCGCACAATCCCCTATCATGAAGTGAACTGATCCACTCAGGGATCTAAAGTGAAACAAAAAAGTGACTAAATATGGTAAGTCACGTGATAATGGGACGTAACGCGTAGGAACGTGGTGACGTATTTCAGGCGTAGATGCCATCTTGCTACACCTAAAAAGCCCATGCAAGTACACCCATAGCATGAGGTTTACAGCTTGTTTTATTTTAATGAAAAGTGAGTGGGCATTTGGCTATATATGTTCTTAAAAGGTATAATAAACAGATTTACACTATGGAAGAGCTCTTTTCTGTCTTTACCCTGATCTTAATGTGAGCTG